CGATAGATCAAGCAAAACTGCACCAGACAAGTGATCACCAGACTCTGTAACATTTCGGAAGTCACAGGGGCCTCAGCAGAGAGGTTTGGCGCAGTAGCGAGGGAGGAAGCCCGACTGCACTGGATTCAAGAGAGAATGGAAAGATGAGAATTGGAGATAACAGGTAAAGGCAACTGTGGTGTTTGTTTTTTTAAAAGAGTTTTGCTGAAGTATAAAAGGAGACAACCTTAAGTTATGAGAAATGGGAGAAGGAGGCATTTGTCTAGGTTTGTAGTATAAGAGATATTGCTGATACTTTCCTAGATGATATCAACTGAACTAGTACAGTGCACCTCTTCACCTTGGGCTACATACTTTCTCAAAAAGTCACACAGACACTATTCCATCGAGAAAGGGTGGAAGGCTGGACTGGCACTTTCTTTAAGCTCAAAAAAGATCCATTCTCTTTTTATTGGTGACCGACAGAAAACAAGACACAGTTGTTACTGCCATGCATAAGCATGGAGTCACCTGCAAGGCTGCCCACACTGCAAAACCATCTCAGTGTCATCATCTTTAATGACAAAAAATAACTCCCTGAACTGCATGACAGGTAAAACCAGGGCCTTGGATTTGAGGGGCTTTATCATGCCTTCATCTTCCTGATGAGAGAATTCCAAAAAGTCTTACCTCTTCCTGACCACAGTACAGTTCCACCATTATGCAAACGCAGGTGGAGATAAGATACCTTCGTACGGAAGTTTCTTCTACAGTGGATCCCCCACTACTCTATCAAATTCTCCCTTTTCATGCACTAAAGCATGAGAGTTCTCAGCCATATGCATCTCTAATTACAAATCTCTGTACTAGAGTAATTAGTGTAACTATTTCTGTTAATAACACTCTCCTCAATCCCTTTGTGACAGATTGTACTGCTTGTTCACAATTATTCCCCCATGCTTCTCTGTAAGTACAATATATTTCTTTGTCCCATTATCTTTAGGACAAAGATGGCCATGTAACCTGCTTTGGCTATGGGAATGTGAGCAGCTGTGATATAAGCCATATTTGAACAAAAACAAAATACGCTTGTGTGGTTTAGCTTTCTGCCCCCTCTGTGAGTGTCTATCTGCCCTCTGCCACGAGAACAACATGGCCTGCATGCTAGACGCTTCTTCAGGCTGGGCTGCAACCAGACGGCACGCACAACCCGGTGAGCCCAGCACAGCTCAGCTGGCCAACATCCTTGCATACCACAAGCCAGGTACATGTGTTCCTTTTTAAGTCACTGTGAGTTTGGGATTGTTTGTTCCTGCGGTAAAAGCTGACTGATATCCTCTTTATTAGACTACTAGAGGCCCGGTGCACAAAAATTTGTGCACTCGGGGGGGGGGGGGGGTCCCTCAGCCCGGCCTGTGCCCTCTCGCAGTCTGGGACCCCTCGGGAGATAACGACCTGCTGGCTTAGGCCTGCTCCCGGGTTACAGAGGGCAGGCCCAATCCCTAGGTGCAGCCCCTGGTCGGCTCAGAGCAGGGCCGATTGGGGAGCTGGGGCGCCGCCCCCTGTCATGCACAGAGCCAGGGCAGATTGGGAGGTTGCCATGCCACCCTTAGTTTTGCTCAGGGTAAGGCCGATTGGGGGGTTGGGGCCCCGCCCCCTGGTCCCATCTAAGATGGGTCGATGGGGGAGGTTGCGGGTGTCCCCCCCCGTCACCGACAGAGAAATGGCCCATTGGGGCGTGTGGGGAGCTCCCCCCTGTGACGCAGAGCAGGCAGGATCAGGGGGTTGAGGCGCAGCACCCTGTCACACTCAGGGCAGGGCCATAGGGGAGGTTAGGGCTCTACCCAGTCACACACAGAGCAGGGCCCGTTTGGGAGAGGGGGTTTGGGTGCTGCACCCTGTCACACACAGAGCAGGGCCGATCAGGGGGTTGGGGCGCCGCACCCTGTCACACACAGAGCCGCAGTGTGTTTCCAGGGGGTTGGGGAGCTCCCCCCTATCAGGCACAGAGCAGAGCTGATCAGGGGGTTGGGGCGCCTTCCCCTGTCATGAACAGAGCAGGGCAGATAGGGAGGTTGTGGCCCCGCCCCCTGTCACACACAGAGCCGCAGGGCGATCAGGGGGTTTGGGCGCTGCCCCCTGTCACGCTGATCCCGGTGCTGGGAGGCATATTACCCTTTTACTATATAGGATAGAGGCCTGGTGCACGGGTGGGGGCCGGCTGGTTTGCCCTGAAGGGTGTCCTGGATCAGGGTGGGGGTCCCCACTGGGGTGCCTGGCCAGCCTGGATGAGGGGACGATGGCTGTTTGCATCTGGTCACACACCCTTCGGGGTGGGGGTCGCCACTGGGGTGCCTGGCCAGTCTGGGTGAGGGGCTGAGGGCTGTTTTCAGGCTGGCGGGTGACTGAACCTCCCAACTGCTCCTTTTTTTCTTTTTTTTTATTCTGGGCCAGCTTTAGCTCTGAGGCTTGGCTCCAGCTCTTAGGCCTCGGCTGCTGAAAGCAGGTATCTGGTTTGTTTGGGTTCTATAATCGAAACACTGTTTCAACTCCAGTTCTGAGATCCTGGCTGGCTGAAAGGAGGTTCTGGGGTTTTGTTTAGCTTCTATATTTGTTACAATGTTTCAAACTGCAAGCTCAGAGGCCGGCAGCCGCAGGTTGGGAATGTTGGAGTCCTCCGTCACTGAAGCAAGCAAGCCTCCTGTTAGCTTCAAGCTGCCTGGCTGCCGGCCGCCATCTTGGCTGGCAGTTAATTTGCATATCGCCCTGATTAGCCAATGGGAAGGGTAGTGGAGTGACACCAATTTGCATGTTTCTCTTTTATTAGTGTAGATCATATTCCTCAAGTGGAATATTTATTCTTTTGTTGTTGTTGTTTTTGTTAATCCTCAACCGAGGATATTTTTCCATTGATTTTTAGGGAGAGTGGGAGAGAGAGGGAAAGACAGAGAGAAACATTGATGTGAGAGAAACACATCGATTGGTTGCCTCCTGTATAAGCCCCAACCAGGGCTCAGGCCAAGGAGAAGCCTGCAACCAAGGTACATGCCCTTGACCAGAATTGAACTCCGGACCCTTGGGTCTGCAGGCCAATGCTCTATCCACTGAGCCAAACCGGCTAGGGCCATCTTTATTCTTTATGATATGTCCTCATACACACCACAATGCTCTGAAATTGTGGGCCCCTAATAAGCACATACACAACAGTGAGTCATTATGTCCATTGTAGCTTGTTTAGCTAAAGTTTGGAATCAATGCATGATTCATATCACTGACACGTTGGCTGCACCTTCATGATAAGCTCCTTAAAGTCATGTTCAAAGCCATTCTCACCCTGTCTTCTCACCCTTGATTTTGGTCTACTGAGATATGGCTGTTGACAAAGAAAACCTAAATAATTCAAGCTTCAGAAAAGGAAAATTGGGTCTTGGGCATCATATATAATGTTCTATCCCTACATGCCCCAGTGTTTAAGGCCACATAGAAAGAATCTGCTCTGCATGTGTTTGTGTGATTTAGCTCTATGTCCAGTTTAAGACAGGCCACAAGCCTTGCCCAGGGGGCCTCACTGCAAAGAAAACAGTCCAATTCTTGCTTCATTTACCAAGGAAACTGCCCTGCCTTGCGCAGAGACTATTTAGACATTGTGCAGGAATCAGAGACAATATCAGGCACAGTTCTGGGCTTCAAGGGACTTATAATGTAATTGAAGAGACAGGATATATGTGTACAAGTCAAAGAAAATCAACAGTTAATGCTTTACCGGAGGTCTTGGGGTGTGGTAGGAAAGAGCTGGTTAGAAAATTGGGACACCTGGTCCTAGCCATGCTCTGCTGCTGGTTAAGTTACTTAGAGACGATCTCTTCACTATTCTGTGCATGTACAAAAAGGACTGAACAAAAAAATAGAAAAAACAAACAAACAAAGGACTGAACAGGTTAATATGAGGTCCTTCACATTTCCATGGTTTTATGACTCTAAGATATACCACAAGCAGCATAATGTCACCAAGTGCTCCGTCCCCGGGGTAGGTGGTAAAGGCTGGGTGCTCAGAGGACCTCTTCGTTTTGCTGATCCTGCCCCACCCCCAAACTAGTTTGCTTCCAGCTTGGTCACAGGGACCCCCTCTGCCTTAAGTCTTGAGCCAGATCTGATGGAGCTGACTTGAGAGTGTAAACTCTGCAAACAAGTCCAGAATTATGCTCAGATACCACAAAGCAAGCAAGGAGAAGAAGGAGAAGCTCCCGAAAGCTGATTTAGCCCCCAGGAGCAACATGGGCTGGGTTTGCTGGAGCTGATGCAGGTGTCCGAAGCTGCTGTGTGTTCAGTGCCTGGGCCTCATCCCTAATGGGACAGAATTCTGGGGGCACCGTGGAGGGGGCTGTCCATGTGACTGGTGTCCTGATGGACGATATCTCCCTAACCACCCTCTGTTTGTTTGAGATTACTGAACACCCTCCACCCCTCAGGTGAAACCAGTTCTCATTACGACAGGCGGGGTCCATTAATAGGGCTTCTGAGGCCAGAGATGCCTCATTTGACATGAAAGGAGGAGGAACTGGAAGAAATGGCAAAATTAAACTTTTAGAACATCCACTGGTGCTTTTCTGATTGTTCTTTGGCAAAATACAGAGAGTAGAGTTAATCCCATTGGTTCAAATACCCTGTGAGCCTTGGGGATTAGCTGTCTCTGCTCACCTGGCGCTTTTGCCACAAATGTATTTAAATTCCCAGCCCAGAGCCTGGCAGGGCTGCTCAGCTGGCCACAAGACTCTTTGGTCTGTGCAGGCTTGTCCTCATTTGGCTGTGAGTGCTTTTGTTTTTTCCCCAAGTATTTACAGGAGCTGGACCACAGTGTGTTTTAATGGACTCACATCAGAGCTGGGTTTTTAAAAGCAAAGGATCTCATTTAGGCAAAACCTCCATTTATTGGGAAATCAGGTTCCTTTGCAAAGTGCTCTTGGCAATTTGCGAAGGAAAGTGGAGGGTGTTGACAACATAAGAAGAATGGCTCTACTTACTTGGAACTCCGGACACCAGCCGCAAGGGGCGCAGCACGCGGAACGCCCTCAGCGCCTTCACATCAAATCCAGCCCCTTTCCCTCCTAGAGCGTTTGCCCCGTCAGCTTTGGTTGCTTGTTCTAAAATTGCACTAAAAAGCCTAAAAGAGAGGAAGGAGAGAAGGAACTGTCAGACAGTGTTTCTTTGCTCAGCTGGGCTCTGAATTCTCGGAAGGAGGCCTGGGAGAGCAGTTTGTGACCATCTCCACCTCAGGAGCAAGTGCTGAGGTGTGTGCCCAGGAGGGTCTGTGCCATCGGAAGGTGATAATGCATCATGTGGGTATACAGGGCATAGCCACTGCATAGAGAAGTCTGTGCGAGGCCACAGGCAGGCCCTTTGCCATCATAAAGCTGTGAAAACACATCTGGCTCTGTGAGCTGGGCAGCCCTAGACAGAGTGAAAAGCAAATGAAGTTTGCTGCCAGGCCCACTGTCCCCTTGCGGTGCCCTCTGGCCCCTCCGTGATATCCTAGCTGCTGTCCTCATGTGGCCTGGAACCACATTCTTTCTCCTCCCCATCTATTTGATTTGTACCTGGGTGCAAATAAATGATCCCAAAGAAATCTACTTTGTGCGGGCACAACACATGCTCAAAGGAAATATGATGAACAAGTGAATAAATGATCAAATGAGTAAGTTTCCAGCAGGAGCAATACCACACAGTAAGGCATGTAACCAAGACATGGAAATTGCAGCCCTGCTGCTCTGTGTTTCTGCTTGTATGTCCATCCCTCCAACAAATGCGAACACCTATGCACCTGGTAATGTTCTAGACACCAAGGCCACAGCAAAATAGACAGTCATTACCCCCTCTTGGAGCTTACATTCTAGTGAAGGAGTCAGACAATAAATCAAATAATCAATAAATGTATATCAGACTTACAGAGTGATAAATGCAGCAATGAAGGGGGGGTCTGGAGGGGCCAGGGTGGGAGCCTTCCTGTTTGACATCAAAAGGCTAAGAAAGGAACTTGCTTCTAGGCTAACATGTGAGCAGAGACCTAAAGAAAGTGCAGGAGTGGACGCAGAGCTATGGGAAGAGGCAGAGGGACAGTCGGTGCAAAGGGCCTGAGGTAGCAGCATGGTAGTACGTTAGAGGGACAACAAGTGGCAGGGTGGCTGGTGCAAAGCAGGTAAATGGACACAGTGGGAGATGAAGGTGGAGAGGAAGCAGGGAGGCCTACTGGTTTTCTCTCTAAGTCAGAAGGCACTGGGAGGTTTTGAGCAGGAGAGTGACATGATTTGACTAAGGTTTAAAGAATCACTCTAATGCTGTGGAAGATAGCCTGTAGTAGGACAGGCCAGGGCAGGCTGCT